GTGCCGGTGAGCGGCCCCGGGAGGGGTGCGGGCGGCGGCGGCAGGGCCGGGGGGTCTCTCCTCCGCACCGACGGGCCGTGTCCACGGGCCCGGCCGCGCTGGCGGAGCGCCGGGAACAGGTGACGCCGTCTCAGTTCTCTCCAGCTGAGCTTGATTTACTTTGATGCCGCCACCACTGCCCGGTTTAATTAATTTCTAGCACATACCGCTAACCTAGGAGGTAGCTTCGGCTTTCTGCTCCGCTGCGAGGACCGCCGAGATGCACTTCTGAGTTTGTGTATCGCGTTTCCAGGGAAACCCCGCCGTCAGTCTTGGGGTAGCCATACTCTGCTGCGAGCAAGACTTACGCTGCTGTGGGACATAAGCTTTTAATGACACTGAGCCTAGGCACACAACAGTCTTTTCCCTTCATTTTATTTTTTTGTGTCTTTAAATGAGGCGATTATCAGACTTTGTTTGCCAGGTATCTTTAACCGTGGTTACCAATTACCTGCTCCACATCCTCATCCTGCCCCCAGAGTAGGGTTCTCATTTCAAACCCATACCTATCTCCACTTCCCTGTTGCACAGCCCAACTACCCGTAACTGCGGTCAAAACCAGAACTTCCATCTGTTTAGCTTCAATCCCATATCCACCCCACCAATTTATAAACCCTCTTTTCATTGGGAATCTGCATCCACAGGCCAGGATCCCCTCATTAACACTTTGCTTGCCTCTTTCATTTTAGTAATCTCTGTTTAGTCTTTGCTCAGTTTAGCCTTGCTTCTGAAGATGTGCACCTTGGCATACTCTAAGCAAATAATGTCTAGAGAACCCAGAGTTGATGCAGCTTAAAAGAATAAAGTACTGTCAAGCACCTGCTTGGTATTTACAGAGGCGCTTGTTCTGGTAACGCAGATAAACATTTCCAGACAGGCAGTTGAAAAGAAACTGTGCACTGCTCTGCCTTAGGTAGATAGATACAACCCTGTCACTGGGGTGTGCTGATGGAATATATGCTTATATGCAAGGTAGCGTTCTCAAGCAGCCTGCTAAGTCTACCATGAGACGTTCATCATCACAGAATTATTTCTGAATAGCCTTCAGTTTTACATGGCTTTTTACAAGTTGATCATGCAGTTTCTTACTCTTTCCATGTATGGAATAGAACTTTTAATGACTACTTTGCGCATAGAAAATAAGCTTAATTATATTTTTCCTTGAGAAAAAGAAAAATAGGGTGCTGGGTTTATGTAAATGGTTTCTTGATAATTTCCTGTACTTTGTTTCATGTCAACAGTGATATAGTGTCTAAAGAATAACTTGCTCATAGTTTTGCTGCCATTTGTTTGACATTGTGGTGAAGTTATAAGTCTATATTGATGTGATTATGATTGTTTCTTTTCCTTTAAAGACTGTCTCTCCCTTCAGTAGAATTCTGTGATCTTGTATTTGAAAATTTGCTGCGGCTTTACCTTCACAGTAATAGCAAAACATCAAGGATGCTTTGGGGCATTTTTTTCCCTCAGAGCTTTAGATGCCAACCTTGTCTGAATTTGTTCCATGTTATCTAGCATGGGTGGATTTAATGAGGCAGTAGCTTTTTTTTAGTGACCAGACAAGAAGTAGTCACCTACCGAAGCCACAGGCCCCATCAGAACAGGAAATGTGCCTACATCAGGGCCAGTCTGGGGCAGACTTTTGTTTGTGTGCATTTCCCATTGAACTTTGCCATTTTAGCATATACAATATTTTTCTGTTTTCTCAAAGCTAAACTTTCATACCTACATTGTGGAAATCCCCAAGGCTACCTCATTTTACATCTTACATACATTCAACTGAATACATGCACCTGTTAAACTGCTTTCTGGACAGGATTAGTTGTATCCTAGAATCTTGTTTTGTTTTGGTTGTAGATGCCGCACTCAGATGGAGAACCTTCCAATAAAAAGACTTTGAGAACTTTGTTTCTTCCGCCTGTTTTACCTTCATCAGTCACATCTGATATGTCACCATTACAGAATAAACTATTGACATACCGAAGATGCAACGAACAGCAAAAGATGCTTAATCAGCTACTGTGAGTTTCATGTAATTCAAGAAATGCTGAAATTCAAATGAGAGAAACATTGCGCGCTTGACATATGAGAAATAATAATGGTGGGTTTAATTTTAGAGGGTTTTGATGTTGGTATTACAGTGCTGAACACTTTCCATCTAAAATCATTAATAATAGAGGGTCATTTAATGGAAGGTCATTTTTCTTTTGCAGCAGCCAAAATCTGCTTGAGTTATGTCTGGTGAGTTGTGAGGAGAATGTGACCTTCACATTTTGAATGTTGTTTATGATTGATAGACTGAAAAAAACCCCTTTCTCTTTATGTAAGCCTTTTTGGAAAGAGAATCCAAGTCTAGATTACTTGCTTGCTTCTGTATGAATGATCCAAACATGGGTCTGCTTGTAACAGGCTTCTTTGTCACTCTCGCCATGCATTTGCTGCTGAGCTTAGTGATCTGTGTCGCTGTCAGAGGAGCACAGCTGCCAAGATGATTGGTACACTCACATAAAATTGTCTTTCAAGATTTTCATTTGCAAACGAGGAAAGACAATAGGAAAAGGCTGCTTTCATGTAATTGTTGTATGTCTAATAGAAAATTAAGGGGTTTTTTTTAAAAATTATTATTTTGATAGAAATTTATTCTTAAAATACCTCCATTATGTTCAGGAACTTACTGAAGAATCCCTAGACATGTTGATTATTTTGGCATAAATACGGCAGGGTTATGTGGGCTAAGGTTTCATTGTTTATAGTAGTATTATGAAATATATTTCAACTTGCATTTTCATATAGAAGATTAAAAAGTTAAGGACATCTAATGGTATTTGATAGGATTAAAAAGCACAGAAAAAAATATTTTGCCTTCATCAGAAGAAATGAAAATTAAAGACCTACATACAGTCTTAATTTAACCAATTTTAAATATTGTCATTTTTTGGGTGTGGCTTTTTAGTTATTCCATTTGCTGTAGCTAGATTTGCTGATGGTAACAAGTTACTTAACTAATTCCTATGCAGTTGATGTTCCACTTTAATGGCTAAATTTTTAAGTGGCCAAGTATTACAGGGTTTTTTTCTTCAAATATAATTGTATGTGTCCCAAATTGTTGGCTTCCTTTGAGCTACACAGTGGTATAAAACGAAGTTGCAGGATCAAAATCTGAGAAGAATTGATCACAGAGGGGAATCTGATTTATGCCAGATAGTGAGGGGAGTTGCCTTTGTGTTCTTCTTTTAAATAATGGTAGCAACAATCAATTAGAGAAAGCAGATAATCAATATAGAAGTTAAAAGTAAAGAAAGATGTTTCCTTTCTTTTAATAGCTTAAAGGCTGTTATAATAGAAATCTAACAAACAAGAAGTCTTAATTTTAGCTCTTGAAAAGTAAATCCTGACCTTTCAATGACACCTGCAGTAGCAGAGTGCAGTTTTCAGAATGTAGGTGTCCAGTATGCTGAAAATGTCAACTGTGCTGTAGTGGTAACTTAGTGTGCAGTAGGGTGACTGCTGACCAGCCATCTGACAAAAGGTGAATATTCTGCTGCAACAGCAGTTACGTTAAGTGTAACAATTTGTACATTGTTGTACCCAGTGAGCGGTCTTTTAAATAAAGCCCCATGAAATAGTGATTTGAGTGTGTAGTTGAAATTGGCAGTCTAACTTCCACTTCAGTTTTTAACTGAGTGACATTGAGATAAGGCTGAAATTCTCTTTGCAAGATACATACAGAGTGTATTCCAAAAGGATGGACTGAAATGTTTTCATGTGTAATGTCAGCAGGACATGCCAACATTAACCATTTGATAGTTATTTAGCAATTTATAACCACAGGCAGTAAAGAAGAGCTGGTCATAAAATAAACAACTTTAGGAGTTTTGTTCTGCTTTTTTATTTCCATAATACAGTTGGACAAGATCTGTTCTGTTTTGAGAAGTGAGATACAATCCTAACAGAGCACTGGGCAATTGGATGAGGTGAATTAAGATGTGTATATATTGTGATTGTGGTCAAGATAAATGGTGGCTTTTTATATAAGAGTTACCTTTTAGTGATCAAAGAGTTGGTGAACATTATTTGTAGATTTTCTGCACTTCTCACACTATGTTTTACTTTAGAATTGATCGAGCTTTAAAAGTCTATCACGTGTCCATGGAAGAAAAATATCACAGAGATCCTGTACTTCCTATCCCGGAACTGCCTTCCACTGTAAGAAAGTATTTCTTGAATATTTTAACTGTTGCCTGTTTTCTTCTTTGTTATTGGGGCATTTATGCCTCTTCCTAGCATTTACTTAAAGATACTTATCTCAGTCCTTAGTAATTCAGAAATGCATTTATATGCTCAAGTAGTCCCACTGAAATTGATACCTGTATATGTACAGAATAAAGGCTTTATTTAGGAATAATATTTGTTTAATTTTATATTTCTGATTTTTTTCTGTTTATATTTTCTTAATACATTATGATTTTCTGTTCCTTTTTATACAGATGAACAGCGAGCGAAAACAACGAAGAGTGAGTTCAATTCTTTCTTCTGCTTTTTTAGAGTAGAAGAATGAATGGTCTCTGTTTGAGAGGTTGAGTGTCTTTTGTGGAATTGATGGTGGTTAAACAGGAAAAGCTTTTTCAGTAGTCTTGCTGGGAAAAATGGAATAGTGAGCAAAATAGAAATCTTTTCTTGTGGTTCAATAGAAAGAAAGTATTTTTCTGTTACAGAAAATATGTCTATCAGTAATTTAAGTTTTGTTCTAAACCTTACTTAAAGATCATTCCTTAGAAAAAATTGTAACAGCCAGCAGGATTTTTTCAGTTGGGGGTCACAGATCATACTTTAGCCTGTACAAAAAGTAGTCTTTGACATTGTTCACCTGATTTGAAGAACATGTACAAATCCTAGAATGTGTGTATAG